CTCCCCCTCTCTCTGCCGCCACAACCCTCCCACCACCGCAGCTCCCTCTTCCTCTCCCATGCCCACCGGCACCCCTGACCTCCGCTGGCCGATAACTCCATCTCCAAGCTCTTCTCTACTGTAATCTTCTTCTGTTTTCTTCAATTCCCCCGTTTCTCATTCCACTTTTGTTATGAATGGTTAATTTAACTTCCAATTGCATTTGATTCGGTTTGGTTTGCAGTACAATGGTTGTGCGTGGAAGGGCGGCAAGCTGCGGCTGGAGAAGGCCAAAGAGGATTACCTTGCTCGGCTGAAGAAGGAATGGGCTGAAGATGCTGCTAAGCTTGAGGCTCTATCTTCTAACGATGACAAGAAAGTGGAGCCTCCTCCACTGCCGACTAAGGAGGACTTACATGATGAGAAGATGAGCTTTTTCTTTCCCAGATTAGGAAAGGTGATGAGAGTAAGGATTTCGACTTTCTATTGGTACCAATACCACTGGTAGCGCTATTGGTACGCTACCACTACTCACTGGTACCAATACCAGTGGCTATCCTATCATCTAGTACCACTATCATCTGTTTTTTTTTTTTTTTGTGTTATTCTCTACCGGTACCGCTACCAATGCTAGTGGTAGCACTACCAGTGCTAGTAGCGTTGTGTTATTCTCTACTGGTAGCGTTGTACTGATAACGTACCACTAGTACTGGTACATTTTTTACTGGTACCGTTAGTACTGGTACATTTTTTAACGTCCTGGTAGCATACCACTAGCACTGGTATATTAATTACCAGTAGACTAATAGATTGGTACACTTTTTAACGCATTGATACATTTTTTCAGATTGCCGGAGGGAGTCGGCAGGAGAGAATTCGCCGGAGAAAAAGTTTGTCGGTCGATGCGGAGTGGCCGCTGGAGAAAGGAAGAGAGAGAGAGAAATAGATAGAGATATTAATGTATAGGATTTAAATTTCAAAAAAAAAATTGTATTTAATATGGGTTTTTAATTCCCAATATAATTAATACAAAAGAGATAATTAATATATTTCTTTTTTTATACCCAAAATACCCTTGGTTGTGAATCTGACAACCCCCTTAGGGGTTGTCACCGTATCCCGTCCCACAAAACTCCCATCTTAGTAAGGGTATACAAGTCTGCCCCAACAGATTGATTAAACCCAGCATTATTAAGAAGATATCCTGAAAGAAGATTCTTCCTTATCTCTGGAGTCTGCAACACATCCTTGAGCATCATCTTCTTCCCAGAGCTGAAGTTCAACTCCACCTTCACCAGAACCAGCAACCATAGTGGTGTGGGCAGTCCCCAGCCACACTTTCTTGTCAGCAGGTGCTTCTGTGTATGTTTTAAACATAGCACGATTGTTACATACATGCTTCGATGCACCTGTATCCAGCCACCATCCTTCTGAGTCATCGGCGAGGTTGACTTCAGCGATCATATCCGTGATCATGGCTATCAAGTCCTCTTCTGTCAAGTTAACCCTGGCAGCAGCAGGGTTAGGCTTGTTCCAATATTTTTTTCCCATATGACCCGGTTTACTGCAGTTATAGCAGATGAACAGTGGGTCATTCTTAAAGGTTTGGGCCGTGACCCTTTGGTTACCTCGAGAGGCACCATTCTAGTTGGGGCAGACCTACTGGTTCTTACTCTTGAAACCTTTCTGGTGAGGTTTTAGAGCTCTAGGGGTGGGTCGTTTAGCAGTAATGACCATCACCTCTTCTTTCATATCCTTCTTGCGGGACTCTTCCTCAATACTTAGGCGAGTAATCAAGCTCTCCAGTGAAATTCTTTAGTTTTATGTCTAAGCATATTCTTAAAATCTTTCCATGAATGGGGCAGCTTATCAACAATGCAAGCAACTTGAAACTGATCGTCTAGAGGCATGCCTTCAGAGACGATCTCATGAGCTACTTTCTGAAGTTCGTGGGATTGAAATTCGACGGACTTGTCATCCACCATCTGGTAGCGCAGGTAGCGGCTGACATCATACTTCTTAGCTCCAGCCTCCTCCGTGTTGTACTTCTTTTGGAGCGCATCCCAGACCATCATTGCGGTGTCTTTTTGTCTGCATAATAGTCGTAGAGTTCGTCCGCTAGGCCGTTGAGGATGTAGCACTTGCACAGGAAGTCATGCTCCCTTTCCTTAGCAGAAGCAGCCCTCTCCTCATCGGTCGCTTCTTCTGGCAACTCGACGGGCATGCTGGCGGGGCAGTGTGCCAACTTCTTGACCGTTAGGTAGAACTCCATCTTTTGTCTCCAGTGCCGGAAGTTGACTCCAACGAAGCGGAAGGGTCGATTGATATCGACAAGCACCAGATCCGACCAAGTTGTTCTGTTCAGTCAACATAGCAGCAGCCGAACGTCTTAAAATTGTTATGAACGGAACAACAACAAGGAACGGGGTTACCGAATATGGAGCTGAGTCGCAAACAAATTCGCTTTCTTTAAGACGTTCGCGACACTGCCCTCGATGTGCACGGCAGACTATCAACCGGTCGTCTCCAGGATAAAACAACTCTGCTCGTATGCTCGACGGTTTTGTGAGAAAACGGGAGCTCTCTGAACACTCTCTCTATTGTGTTTCTGCTCGTTGTGGTGTGTTTAGATGGGGCTGGGGAGGCAGCTATTTATAGGAGCCGAACCCCTAGGAATATACCCTCTTACTTGGGGAATAAGTAGGATTAATTAAGGAAGATAATTACTTCTTTAATTAAAACGTGTCTATAAGATAATTACTGACAGAATTATCCCTCGAATATTCCTTTCGAATTTTTATCTTCGTGTCTGTTAAGGATACAAGATAATCAAGTCATAATTAATTTCGGAATATATATAAAAAAATATTAGTCTCAATCAAGACCCACCCAACCGGTCAGAAGGACGACGCGCGCGTGTGTGTGGTAGTCCGTTAGGTCCTCCCTCTCCCACAAAAGTGGGTCACTCTAAGGGATCTGCCCTTAGAAGACAGCATCCTATTCTTATACACATATCATAAAAGTAAAACTACCAATGTAGTAGTTTTTCATTTGAGACTTATAACTTTCAAAACTATTCATTTTTCATTCATTTCCAACATAGAGGAGGCATGTAAGATATGAATGTTAATGTATTGTTATTGATGTCATATGCAGAGAGGCGAATCTTGACTGAGGGTGTAAATTAAATTAGAGCGGCTAGAATTTTGATTTTAGGGAATTAGATATTTTTTTTTTCTCGAGGTGGAGGTCTTTGCTTGGATAAGATTTTAGGGGCCTTGCATTGGTCGCCTCTCCATATTTCATCATGGTCGAAAATCGCCTCTATTTCCCACTTTTGATGACATAAACTCGCCTTTGCTTTGGTATTACCGAATATCGATTTATTTTTTAGGGATTGAGATTTGTATTCATTTTGGAATGCTATTCAGTATTTTAGATTACATGATTGGGAGCAGTATATACTAAATACCGAGAAACAACGAAATTGAAAATTAATGGAATATAACACATAACTTTTTGTCGTTCCTCACTCTTTCACAACTCACAAGCCCCTTGTCCAACTCAATTTTGATTTTCTAGTTCAAGTCACTGTCATCTCTCACCTATTATCTTGTTATTTCCATAACGCCAAAAAGTAAATATTAGTATTAGTTGTCTCTCGCCCTTGAATCCGTCGAATTCAAGTTTACCAAAGACATAATTTGAGATGACACATCTCTTCTCTCTTCTCCTTATCCATGTGTTGTAGGCAAACTGAAGACTCTTTTGTCTAGTCTCTTTGCACTTAATTAAACAATCTAATATAATTTATATATTAATTAATAATTACAAAGTTAATTAACTTTATATTTGATAATACTGATTGGGGTACCAAAATATTTAGGGATTGAGATTTCAAAATTATTTAGGAATTGAGATTGGAATTGATTTAGGGTGTAATTCGATATTCGAGATTTTAGGCAAACTCACTATTTCACAACTCGCAATCCCCCTTCCATCCCAATTTTGCCTTTCTAGTATAAGCCACTCTCATCTCTCACCTAATATCTTGTTATTTTTATAACACCAAAAATCAAATACTATTATTAGTTGTCTCTCGGCCTCCAATCCGTCGAATTAAAAATTACTAAAGATAAGAACGTGAAATATCACATCTCTTTTCTTCTCCTTGTCCATGTGTTGTAGGCAAACTCAAGATCCTTTGTCTAGTCTCTTTGCCTAAATTAGACAACTAAATCTAATTTATATATTTAATTATTAATTATAAAGGTAATTAATTTCGTATTCGACAGTATCGAAATATTTAGAGATTGATATTGGAATATCATAATTATTTAGTATTTGGAATTATAATTAATTTTAGAGTGTAATTTGGTATTTGGAATTTTGATATTTAATTCCGGGATAACGATATTGTGTCGATTTCCATCCCTACTAGGGGTGGGCATACGGTTAGGTAAAACCAAACCGAACCAAAACCGAATTAATGTTATTCGGTTCGGAATTCGGAAGAGAAGAGGGCATATTTTGGAAATTAGGGTCCTTTCGACCGAACCGAATTTCCGAATTTCGAACCGAAAAACCAAATTATTATAATTGCAAGCTTTAAATGGTGGATTTTTATATTTCTACTTATTATGAGACTTAAATATTTGAATCATTTTAGTGTTTTATGACTTATGTGTTGAAATGTTTGATCTTATCATTGATGATGCATATTTATTGTTTACATTATGGGTGAAAAATAATTTAAAAAAGAGAAGATACAAGCTAACCTCACTATTTCGGTTTTGTATGAAAAACCGAACCGAATTATAATTCGATTTGATCCGACCAAACTGAATTATAATTCGGTTCGAATTCGGTTTGAGGTTTGATAGAATTCGGGGACCCGGTATGCATAATTTCGGTTCAGTTTGAACCGAACCGACAGAATGCACACCCCTAATCCCCACCCCACGCAGCTCGTCGTTTCTTTTACACGTTTGCTCCCGCATAACGTCACGTTATCGTTAGCGAGAGCGAAACAGATACATGAAACGTTTCTATCTTCCGACGTTTCCAATTTTGCAAATGACATCTTGTGAAAATTGCAAAATTGTCCCCTTTGTCTCCCTTCTTTCCTAGTTTCCTTCCCTTTCACTCAAAGATGTTCTTCCGAAACAAACAAGAACCATCCTGAATTAGAGGAAAACGATCCATTCCCAGGTGGGTGAGATCTAAAGCCAACCCCCTCTTCACAATTTGGCTATCGTTCTAGTACGGTACACACGAAATCCGAGCAATCCAACGATTACCCACTTCTTAGTTTCCTCTGTGAGTCTCCCTTTGATCTCACATTTCTCTGATCGGCTCTGTTCGTTTCTTTTGTTTAGTTTTTTTTTGTCTCTCGCCATTTCCCCAAAATTTCACACTCGTTTGAGAACCACGGGTTGATTTCAATGGTGATAGGCGAAGTGGGGATTTGATTGCGTTGCTTGCATCTGATGTTCGGAGGTCAAGTGGCACTGCCTGGCAATAGTCCGCATTTGAGGAAGTCTGGTAGCCGACCTGTTGTCTTTGATCTTGGTAGCAACAGAAGTTCAATTTCTGTTTCTCCTTTTTTTTCTTTTAATTCATATTCTTCCTGGTGTTTATGATTTTGGGATGTTGGTTGTAATGGGTTGCTCTTGATTGTTTGCATGGTGTAGTGTTTTGTTTCTTCTTTATGTTCTTCGTCGGGTTGATGATTTTTAGGCATGTTTGCTAGGTGGGGAGCAGGGGAATGGTGCAGAAGAAGGGTTCTCGCATTCAACAGAGGCCGATAACTCAAAAAGCCTTCCAATGTCACTTAGTGCTGCAGCTGCCATAATGCCATCTCCAATACTGTTGTGGAGATTTAAGGTGTTCTTCGGTTCCTGTTTATCACTTATTGTCTCGACACTAATTCTTGGTTTAGTATAAAAGTTAATAATAAATGGATGCCGGTGAACTCTGTGACAGTTAGACCTTTGGGTTTTTTCTCCCAAGTGTAATCCGTCCTACTTAGTTGAACTTCTAGTTGTTGAAGGACTTAGATTGGACGTTTTTATCTAAGGCTCTTATCTTGCATAAATTTGAGCTAAATCCTCTCTCTGGGGCGGGATTTCAACCATCATTTATGATTATTAAGTACAGATTGAACTGGCCTCTCTAGGTTTTTTTCTTTACAAAAAACTCATTGAATCTGTCATATTATTGGGGTTAACAGGTGCTTCTGTTCTTCCTATGGGGTTTCTTTTGTTGTAAGGTGAGTTGATAAACATACAGCATTTTTTCAGATTAGACGAATCATCGGGAGCACATAATTTTGGTGCTGGTTCTTTATTCAATTCCTAATCGGGTGATGAATATTTTGCAGATTGGATGGGGTTCTGTTATGAGAATGAGTGCAAATTTGAGGGACCTTTTTCTCTATGAGGTTTTCTTGTATTACAACCCTCTTCTTCTTGTGGTAATGGACTTTTGTGTCTGGTGTTTACTTGCACACCCCTTTTCCCTTTTCTACTTGGTACTTAATCTATATTTGTTATTGCAGACATTTGCAGTTTGGCTTTGGGGGGCTAATTTGTGGGTCTTTTCCCAGTCAACTGTTAGTTATGCTAAGATTTTTGATCTTGACCAAAACCATCTCAATCACAGAGAAATATGGAAGGTTCAGTTTTATTAAGTTAGTCTTATCTAAATAGATCTTATATTACACAGGACTGTTGTTATCCTTTTTATGTTCCCGTGACTTGGTAATGAATCTTCCTTCCCTCTTAACGCCAGGTCTTTTGATCTGTGCAGGTTGCCATGTGGATGACAATAATTGTCCCAAGTAGCATGACGGCCTATCTGTATCTCTATTCTCATGGAGAAGTGTCTTTGGCGGCATCTCAACCAGTGTAATAGAAGCTCCTTTTAATTACTTATCAATCAATGTTTGGGTTTAGCGGGTTTGGTCTCTATGTCATCGACTCTAGTTGCATCGCGTGAAGTCGTGAACTTCTACAGCATATTGGCCTGTGGCTTCTTCTGAGAGTGAAGCTGCTAAGATTAAGGATATACCTGATGCTTAGTTTTCTAGGAATGCAGAAACCATTGTGTTTTCTTTAAGAGTTACTGAGGTGATGATATTGATTGGTATCTCGACTCTTAAGGTCCACTCAATTTGGAATGAATTATGATAGGTGGGCGGTAAGCATGTGTAAGGGTCTGTGTATCTGTATATGTGGCCGATGGTTTGTTACTCTCTACGATTGAATATAGCGACCTTTTGGCCTTTATGAGTAATAAGTACATGATTATGTGACTATAATATAGGATTTTCTTTTCCGCAATTGTTTGCTGGTATAATATTGTTGCATTAATACCAGAGCTGAAACAGTAATTGGAACTGTCAGAGACATGGAAGTGGTGAGAGTATTCACTTCAAAATGAATTGCATAAAGCATATGTAAGTGTGTAAAAGCAAGCTGTTGTCCAAGGATGAATGTTGGCCAATAGTTTTGACATGCTACCTGCAGCATCCACAATGTAGCTTGCTGTTAACTCTTTAATGAGTATCCATTTGGCATGAGTTCGGAAAGGAAAGTATAGTTTTGAACGTCTGACTAAGAGTACTAATTTACTCCTCCCTGTACTGCAGGTTCTGCTCTATTGTGCTGTTGCAATGCTTTTGATATTCCCCTTCGATATATTCTACTTGTCATCGCGCTACTTCTTGTTGAGGACCCTTTGGCGGATAGTTTTCCCTCTACAGGTAAGTAGCCATTTAACTGTGGTGCTGTATCGCTGCATTGCTTTCATAGTTTTGTCATATTGCTGAATGTCCTTTGCATATACATCTTGTGGCAACAGCTGTAGGCCTTGTTTGTACTTGTCTTCTAAGAGGAGCCAGGCCCGACACCAGATTTGGACTGTTAATCTCTTCCTTGCCTATAATGTGAAGAGTTTATGGTGATGCTAGTCGTGCTTTATGGTTTTATTTTTCTGTTGCAGGCAATCACATTTGCTGACTTCTTCTTGGCTGATATCTTAACCTCTATGTCCAAGGTATAGATTATATGCTATATATTGTGATCTGTATGCTAATTCTTTTGCCTTACTAACTTTGGTTAAAAGACTTGAAGATTCTAATAAATAATGTTGGGTAATCTGTAACTTTGTGTAAGTTGGAAAAATTGTCATTGTGATTTCTGAATTCTTTTGATGTCGACTATATGGAGAAAAGGGGGCTTCTGACATTTGCTTGCACACATTGTTCCTTTGCAGGTCTTTTCTGATCTGGAGCGTTCAGTTTGTCGAATGGTTCACCGACAGGTTCGTATTCAGATGGTGTTCTTTTCTGGCTAGCTTGTAACCCTTATGCGTTACTAGTAAAATAAAGCAGCCGATAAGCTTTATATCTTTATGTGAAAGGGAGAATTAATTTGGTATGAAATGATGTCTCTATAGTGCAAGTACTTGGTGATTTGTGAACTTGTAGCTCAAGCAATTAACATCAATGCCTGGATTAAAGATTTGAGGAATTTTCCTTATGATGTGTGTTTTTTTCGTGAGGAGCAATTCCCCAAGGAAATTGTTTATTAAATTCATTTTCAGAGTTCGAGTGAGGCATCAATCATAGATTTCGGAAAGTAAACATGAAATAACAAATCCAGTCTTTCACTAAGATTTCGAATAGCTGTCCCGAACTTCCCTGGCCTCCCAACAAACTCTTGATACGAAAAAAACCTCCCACCATAGAGAAGAAATCGAAAGTATAGGTCCCCTCGATCACCCTTTCTATTGTTGTTGTTGCTATTAATTTGTTTGAATTTGTACAGGTTGCAACAATTGCATGGTTTGAAGCAGACTCTATTTGTGGTAGCCACTCTGTTGCAATCCCTTTGGTTCTTGTTCTACCTTATCTATTTCGGCTATTCCAGTGTCTTCGACAATATAAGGATACAAGGGAAAGAACATCTCTTTTTAATGGTACTGGTGTTTGGACTTGTTCCCCCTCCCCCCCACTCATCTACATTACTCTATCTTTTCTTTTCTGCTTTTCCATCGTTTTCAAAGGAGTTTTTCCTGCAAATTTGGTGACAAGATGTCTTCGTTATGGTTGGTTTCGTTGACACTATGCCAACTTCATTTCCTTGTACTTGCAGCCTTGAAGTATTCAACTGCAGTTCCAGTCATTTTCTTATCGGCACTGAAGTATCATGTCTTCCCTGAGAGGTGGACAAACTTCTATCGTCCTCTCTGGCTTGTTTCAAGTATGGTGAACTCCTTATATTCCTTCTATTGGGATGTCACCCGGGATTGGGACTTGAGGTATGGTTGATGGCTTACTATTTCCCAAAATTTACAATTTCCCAATAGGTTGATGCATTGACATGATTTTACGTACTTGATCTTCCTCATTTGGACATTTATAAACTAGATTTTCCTGTTGGACGTTTGGTTAATCCTTTTCCCTTGTACCAGTGGCTTTACTCGGATTTTCAAATTCAACAGACCGAGTGTCTGGTCATACATATTGCATGGAAGGAAATGGGTAAGTTCCATGAATTCAAATGCTAAATTGATTTTTCATTCCCGCATCTGGGTTAGGTCTGAGATCCAAACAAGTCTGTGATATCTGAATATCTTTGGACGAACTTGACTACTCCATTTTCCCACAAATATGAATTAAGTGTCCATTAAAGAACAGAAGTAAATACTAAAAAGAAGGGCAACTTTTTTTGGGTTTCGCCAATGATATGAATTCTTGGACTTGTTGTTCCTAGTTATAGATAACCTGCAAGTTATCATTTGCAGGTTTACTTTTGGGTCATCGGGAGCAATTTGATTCTGCGATGCACATGGACGTACAAGCTCTCAGCTCATCTACGGCACAACTACCTGACTGTTTTTGCGATAACTGCCTTGGAGATTTTCAGGCGTTTTCAGTGGGTGTTTTTCCGGGTTGAGAATGAATGGAACAAGATGAATGCCAAGTCAAGCACTCAGATATCAATGAGTGAGATGTCAGCAGAGGAAGAGAAGTTAAAACTGCTTGTTTCTAGTGATCATAACGTATAGACACAGTTATCCGAGCTCTGTTGAACATGATCCTCCATATACCCTTTTTGGTGGCAGCTTCGATACATGTAATTCTCTTATTGCTTCAGTTGTGATGTTAATAGAAGGGATAGGATGTCAAACTCGAAAGGGAATAGTAGATATATACAAGTTTACTGATGTTATTGATACTACTATCCTCAGCATTTCATATTTGAAGGCCAGTCAATTTCCCATTCTTGGTTGATATAAGCATCTGTCAACAGTTTTTGGTGGAAGCACCCTTTTATTGAATTTCTGCAGGTTTTAGAGTGAACATACGTCCGTATATTTGGGGTGAAGCTGTTTTACTGTTAGGGGCAACTGGCAAGGGGGAAATGAACTGGTATAAAATTATGATTCAATCTGTGCTCAGAAATTGTGGTTATGTTCTGGAAATTGTTTCTTCGGTCTCGAATATATGAATATATGTATCCACGTGTCCTTTTCTATAGGGTCTTTTTTTTTAATGTACATTCGATTCACTCCCTTAGGCATTTTTTTAGGTTGGTTTTCAGATTAACCATTGCAATATGTTGTATTTCTAGTGATATTTCACTTGATTTGAACAGGAAATAAACAAAAGAAGAGAAACATTCAGCTCAAATATGTGCGTAGCAGTGCAAACATGAATTGGGCAGGGTTGAAATTCCAAAGACTAGTAAATATTCCCAAATGTTACACACAGAGACAGTTCAGATGGATAAACCAATTATTGAGCAGACTTTTTTCCCAGTGCCCAGAGGTAAGACAACTAAATCATAGATAGACTTGGTCAGCTGGGAGGCAATCAACTGGCGGGAGCTGCTTCTTCCAGCAATTGCTTAACCTTGGTGATGTAGTCATTCATTGCCTCCTCCTTAGATTTGGCTGCCACAAACCAAAATCCAAAAAGAGACAAGTTTTTTTTTAAAGTCCGAGCCATCTTTGGTTTAACGATGAATTTATAGAGGCACAGAAACCTGCAAATTTCTTCCTACCCAAAAAAAGAAAAAAGAAAAAAAGAAGAAACCTGCAAAATCTAAATACACACACCTTCAACAGCCTTCCATGCGTCCCATTTGGCTCTATCCCTCATGTTGAAGATCCCCGGACGGGCTGCAAAACAAGCAACCGATGAGATGAATCTCACGAACTCAAAACTAACGAGATCCAGTGAAGTATCAATGGTAGAAAATTGTGATCTGGATGGCTACACACAGGTATTGACTGGGCCACAAGTGGCTTGCTTGAACAGTCCATACAGAATAAGCTTGTTCTCATTGGAAGTGTTCTCCGGCAATGTCATTGCCTTCTGAGCATGCTCATCAAATTCCTCCTGCCATCCATACAAACATACCATCAAATCAATCACCACATCACAGAGCTTCTCAGTAGATTTACAGTCGACTCTAATTTGCAAAGCCCATCGATTCTCTAGTTTTGTCAACTTCCCAACTCAAAACAGCAACGACTCAATCAATTAGTGAAAAGGGGAGGAACTTGCATGGGGATTGAATAATTAGAAGATCCAAGCAACACAATCAGTTGACAGAGCGGACCCAGATCCCGAATTGTGTTAAAGCAGGGATCTTTAACATGAATTGGGTACGCAACACGGTAACAAGAGATCGAACAGAACTAAGGCGAAATCGAGCAAAAACAAGCCAACAATGGCGGCAAACAGCATCAGTAGAAGGGGGCAGAGAGTCGAGATCGGACCCAGCATCGCACAATTTTTTGAAGGCGCAAAAGGATTTTAGGAGCCTTACCTGAAGACCCATTTGGAATATTCGCTTCTTCACGCTCTGCTTCGCTCTGATCTCTGCTTAGAATCCACGCTTTGCTTCGTTGGTATCGACTGCCGGAAGGGGTGGTGGTCTGTTTATATATAGCGAGGCGTCGACATATACGGATATGCCAGCGCACAGCAATTATTACGCACTGGTTCTGGTTGTCAATTCGATTAATAATTCCGTGCTCTCTCTGGCACTCATTGGTTACTTGGGTTTCCCTTTATGCAAGATAGGTGGTGCTGCAGCGGCCCAACCTTCATCAAAGCCCACGATGATTTTGAAAGTGGGTCAAAACCCCACCACAGATTCTGGCTTAATATTTTAAAAGAGTAAATTGCAATGTTGGTCACTGAGATTACTAAAAAGTGAAAACGTTTATGTTTGGTCACTAAAAATATCTAAATTCATTCATTGTCACTTAAATTAGTTAAATACTTCAACTTTAGTCACTCTTCGTTCAATTCCGTTAACTTTTGTTTATGTGGCGGTTAACTCTAATATTTTTTTTTTTGGTAAGAGCTAACTCTAATAGTTGACCGTTAAATGTGTGACATGACAATTAAAATATAATAAAATAAATAAAACTTAATTTTAATGATTTTCCACCTCTGCCTCTATCTTGCAGATAGTGAAACCGAATCTGTTACTTTTTTTGTTAAGAGAAAAGTAAAAAAAGTTGATAACTCGAGAACAATAAATATGAATTTATTTTCAATTATTAATAAATACAAAAAGAAAAAGAAAAAACAGTTTCGCTTAACATACCCAGAGTATAACGAGCTTCAACATATCGCTATACAATGCTAGATATCATCACTCTTCGACAATACTGTCTGCACATGAGGGCTCTCGTGCCTCGTGGGCCTGGCAGGGACTGCTCGAGGGCCGGGACTTGTTGGCGCGGGCGGGGTCTACGTTGGAGGATCGGGAATGGGGCAGCAGTGCATATCCTTACAGATAAGTGGCTACCATCTTCCCCTCCATCTTTCTCCTGTACTGCTACCTAACATCTCCCTTCCATTCACTTTTGTTTCTGAGCTAATTTGCCCCCTGAGTCATACTTGGAAAATTGACATTTTGCATAACTTGTTCACATCCGAGTCTGTTGCTTTGATTTTGTCTATCCCGTTACCTACGCAGATTATTCCGGATAAGCTGGTGTGGCATTATTCTCCGACAGGTGAATACACGGTCAAGACGGGGTATCAACTCTTGTCGACAGAGTTGAACAGGTCGCATCCGCCACGGGACATACCTTATGAGAAGCGATTCTGGAAATTCCTTTGGCATCTGCCACTACCGCCGAAGCTTCGTGTATTTTGTTGGAGGATCGCCAGGGGATTTTTGCCGGTACGTGAAGTGCTTCAGTTCAAGAGGTTAGTGGATGATAGTACATGCCCTGTTTGTTTCCGCTGGCAGTGAGAGCATTATGCACTCTTTCCTTCATTGCCGGGTTGCCGTAGAACTGTGGAAGCGTGCTGAATTGGGCCTGTTGCGTGCAAGGTTATCATCTCTTTCCCACTCTGAGTGTTGGTGGGTCCTGTTCTTTGATTGTCGTCTTAACAAAAATGAGGTTGCTAATGTTATATTCCTATGTTGGCGAGTTTGGAAATCGAGGTGTTGGGCGGTTCATAAACGGATCCAATACTTTGGGGCCAGCACTACTTCGGCAATTCCGAGCTCAGGTGGAGGATGGCGGGCTGCCACAGAGCCTCTTGCCTTGCATCAAGGACCACATAATCGCACTCACCAGGGTCGGCAAGCTGCGTCGGGCGGACAATCCGGCCGCGACGGGGAGTGCCCTCCGGGTGGGGTACTAGTACGGGTGGATGGAGCATGGAGACAAGGAGCAGGAGGTGGTATTGGCTTTGCGGGCTTTTCAATGAATGGTGACTTGCTATTCGCGTTCGACAAACACTATCCAGGTATCGATGATCCTTTCCTTGTGGATTGAGAGGACAAGATCATCGGGCAAACCATCAAACATATCGGCGCTGCGGTTTTCGGATTCGGATGGGGCAATAGTCTCTGCCTCTCTCCGGCAAGACTCTCGTCGACGGTGGCGGAGAAATTGCGTTTCGCTCTATTGACTACTCTCTTCTCCACAACATAAACTTCCATCCTCGGGGAACAAACGCCTCTGTTACTTGTGCCGACAACAGAGTTGTCGAGCTCCATTTCCCCGGAATGGGTCTCTTCGGCAAGTTCCCTCTCGAACTTGGCAACCTGACCCCGCACAATACTCTTTCCGTCCGTTTAACGCGCTTAGTGGGAGCGTTCCGGCCGACATCACAAATCAAGGTTTGCTCAGGAACCTCTATTTGCGAGGGAACTTCTTCTCCGGCGAGATCCCAGCTGGCGGGTTATTCACATTCCTAGAAATGAGGTGGAAAATTTTAAAAATTAAATTTATTTCTTTTATTATTTTTAATTGTCATGTCACACACTTAACAGTCAACTATTAGAGTTGACCGCCACATAAGCAAAAGTTAACGGAGTTGGACGGAGATTGTCCACTTGAAGTATTTAGCTAATTTAAGTGATCATGAATGGATTTAAATATTTTTAGTGACCAAACGTGAACGTTTTTTGTAATGTTAGTGACCAACATTGCAATTTATCCTATTTTAAAATGATCCGAACTTTATTTTAAACGCTTATATTGATCCATTTTTTCATAATTTCTATCCTCATTTCTCACTTGAATTATCACCTAAAATAACTGATTTGGCTTCATCCAAGTGGTAATTGTTAAATCTGACGGTCAACATCATTATTAACAATTAACCCATGTGGCCTTGTCAGCATAAACAAGCTTACAAAATTCAGAAAATCCAAACAAACTCCAATTTCAAATTACTGCAATTAAATTTTATATAAAAAATATTGCAATTAAATTAAAACGAAAATAAAAATAAAAAATAGAAAACAACAAAAAAAAAAAAAGTTGAAAAACAACAAAAATTCAAATTCTTCGTCTCTTCCTGATGACCTCTAGTCTCGCCTAGCTCCACCAAATCTTTGCCACCCCTAGTTTTTCAAATCGACAATCAATCATCACTTTAACCACGAAAGGATCATGGAAAGTTATATTTGAGCAAAGCAGGGTATCAATTGAAAGTTCAATTCCAACATAGCCATTTCAATAGAAAAAACTCCAGATTTCATAAAAAAAAACCTTATTCTTCCCCCAAGTATAAATTCAACCCATTCAACCTAAAATCAATAAGCAATTGTCATGAATAAGATGTATAACGCATAGAGGAAGAAGACATTATGATCAATTTTCAAAAAAGATACTAAAACATTTAAATTCAATTCAATCAAACCCAAAATTGAAGGACAACTCAGGTCATAGGCTAGTTTCGGATAGTTTATCATCTAAAGATGGGAAGAAACTGACCCAGAGACGATGATTTGCGAGTGAAAATTCAAAGGAAAAAAGAGAAAGGGTGTCCAAAATTTGGTTTCTGGTCGATTCTCATACCTTACCACGAATCCGCTTTCCATAAGCTCTTCCCGGCTTTACTTCCCTTCTTATCACACTCGAGATCTATGAACTCCATCATTGAGAAGAAAATAAGATTAGGGTTTGAGTGAAGGGTTTCTCAACTTGAGAGCATTCTAGTTTTCGAATTTTCTACATAGCAAAGGGTAGCATACGCCTGCATTCACACATATTATTGTACTTAGATAATTTCGACAAATCAGAACATTTAATTTTCATTTTAAAATTAAATGAATCTTATGGTTTTGGTTAGAGAATTGGGGACTGGGGTTTACCCATTAGAGGTTAGGATATAGTATCATGCCCCGAACTCCGGTTAATTAATGGTCTAAATAACAAAACTCGACGGGCATATGGTAAGGGTACGTCTAACATATGGTGGCGTATTCGGTGCACTCAATTTTGTGGGTGCATTCAGTGCACTCACTTCATAACCGTCATTTTAAACATGCGATTTATGTCAAAATGATGTCAATCATCACTTATGACGTGATGAACAATAACGCACATGAATTTGCTCAAAAACCATTAAAAATTTACTTTAATTTGAAGGATTTAGGGTTTAGAGATTTAGGGTTAGGGTTAGGGTTTACGATTTGGGGTTTAGGGATAGAACTCAAAATTGGAGGTCTAGGGCTTAGGGTAATCCGCTAATTAGTTGTTATCATATGTTATATCATCATATTAAACTAATTCTACAAATTAAAATTCAAAATTCGACACCTTAATACTAGTTTTTGAGTTGGGTGCACTGAACGCACTCATTTTTGTGAGTGCACTGAAGTAGTCGCCATATATATATATGGAGATGACTGGTATGCTCTAAGAGCATAGTATGCTCCAGATGATCTAACCGTTGGACTTGCATGGATTAGCTCCGACCAATCTCAACGATCAACTCTTTTTTCTCTTAAATTGAACTTTTGGCTTGGGATTAGAAAATTGGGGACTGGGGTTTATCCATTTGAGGTTAGGGTATAGTATCATACTCCAAACTTGATTTAATTCATGATCTAGATAGAGATATCTCACTATGAGTACATGGAACATAGCATATATATATGTGGTGACTTCTGTCGTACACCAGGCAAAAGCTGGTGTACATTGTAAATCAAACCTTCTCCACTGTCCGCGTCCATCTCAACGGTCAATATAAATGCGATAAGTTATTTTATAATCTCACAAAAAATAGTTGGTGATTGTGGAATATTATTTTGTTTCATGCTAGTTTGATAATGGAAATTAGTTCGTAACTGATTGTCTGGATATTAGTTATGTGATGTGTGGATGTTGTTCTGTGTTCTTTGGATATTAGTTTGTGATTGCGGATTACTAGATTATTTCAAGGTGGATATCAATTAGTAAACTTTCAATTGAATGTGAATATTAGTTCGTAATTCATTGTCTGGATACTTTAGTGAGTTGTCTGGATACTAGTCTAGGTGATTTGGATACATGCCTACGTGTATTTTTTTCATGTGGCTACTAATTTGTAATTGTGAAGTACTTAATGTGTTATGCTTGCACATGCGTCCTTCCAACTTGAGATGTTGGATGTTGTGGTTGACCGACATTTGGGCAGATTGTTGGACTTATCCTCACGGTTGGGACATATAATAGACGTGAAAGAAACATGCATGGATGAGTAGTCTTCCAGTGTTGCTGATGTTCCTC